AAGTTAAGTATAGTCAACGTTACAAAGAAAAATATCTAGACGTCAGATTTTCTTCAGTGTTCTGAAATTTTCGGGCTAAGTACGGTCCATTCCTAACGTAATTCAATAGGCAAACTACTTTGCCCTCAGTATTGAAATTGTACGAGTACTTAATATTAGCGCTAACAAAACGACTAAACACGATCTGTGAACTATTTAGATAAAAATTTACCGTTACCTTTACAGCCTATTAAAGTCCACTGCTCAACATAGGCCTCCCCCATAGCGCATGAGTAAAGAAACCGACTTCTTACTCTGTGACATAGATTGCCTCATATATTGACAACCGTAGTTTCGTTATCAGAAAGACGCCCATCTCCTGGTTGGTTTCCGAATGTCGCCTCTTACAACACCCACAAAATGAAATGGGGTAGTGGATATTCCCACATAGCCACTACACGATGATATATATTCTTGCTGATTTTCGGTCAATTTTTGTACATAACTTACGTATTTCAATTAATCTGATATGTAATTAATACGATAAAGTTATTTGCATTCCTTTAATTACCTTGATATGAACACGATAAGTCAGTGAACGTGATTTTTGAATATACTTAGGAAAATCCGATGTTGAGTAATGCTGTGTGAGCATTGTATGAAAATTATACTCAACATATCTGGATAGTAAAATCCAGAATGCCTCGTTAGTCTTGTGATCGTAAGCGCGACAGCTGATCTCGGGGTCCCAGGTTTGAATCCCCGGTCGGCCCAAAATCTTTTTCTGTCTAAAAGTTATCAGTAGCAGTCTGGAAGTCAGGAAGTTGTCGAGTTTTAAGCTGTACGTCCCATTTGACTTCCACGAAAGTCAAATCCTGTCTTTAGTACGCTGATGATCAAGTTATTTTGCGTCATCGGCGGTCGTGTTGCAAATGATGGTTACATTAATGAACAGGTCTTTAAAAGAAAGTGGTATGAAAGTGAACGCAAGTAAGACGAAAGTTATAGTTTTTGAAAGAAGTAAGTAAAACGATATGTGAAATAAGAATAAAAGGAGAAGTTGGTCGAGCAAGTAGATGAGTTTGTATATTTGGGATGTGTATTCAGCAGGGATGGGAGATATGATAAGGATATAGAACGATAACTGAACGCAGGAAATAAAGTAAATGAGAGCCCCATTGTGTGAAGCATGCAGAAAAACTGCAACAGGAAGACCTGAAGAAATCTCATCTGGCAGAAGATATCGTAACTCATGTGGATGATGATGACTTTGATGATTCTGATGTGGAATTTTAATGTAAATAGTTTTGATATAACTTGTTACATTCCAAACATTTGTACTTATAGTTTTTTTTAAATATATAGATATCTAATTAATAATTTATTTTAAATCATTATTACCCTTTTTTGATAAATACGTTGTTTTATCTATTTTTTTTTCATTTTTATAACTAACCCACGTAATGACAAACCTAAATACACTAGCGATAACGCTTATCGACAACAATAATGCGCATCACTATGCTCGCCCCTAAGGCCCGTGAGTGGGAGAGAGAGCGAAATACTCCGATGATTTACAAACTGCCCGGACAAAATAATTCTAGTATAGTCTAAATTTCCTCTTACTTCTCTCAAACATTTAATTTATTTTTGTTTTTTCTCCCTCACTCCCTCTTTACAGACCAATATCTCTGGCTTCTTTGGCAGTTAAATTAATAAGAAAAACATTCAGTAATAGTGATAAAATTGATTGTAAATATAAGAGTGTATGCATCTACACTTATAACTATTTCTTAGAGCCTATTTTGTCAGTCATAACAACAAAGTTATGATAGAGTACAAAGGTAACAAGACTTCAATTTGCCAATTGACCAGTAAATTGTTTACTTAGCACTAACAAGGTAATAAGTTCTCTTGAGTTAGTGGAAATTTAAACCTTCTTTGGTGTGACTTATGTACTTGTCTTGTAATTTGTGTTGGATGATATGCTTTTCGAATGAGTAACGGGATCAAATCATGGGTACTTCCGTTTTGACAATGTAGACGAGGTAAAGCGTTACCATTGTTTGCATTGATATTTATTATTTCTTTTATAAATATTGGTTTGTGGAATATTTGGTGAATATTATTACATTTAAGATTGTAAATAAAGATTTGACACAACGATAATTCGATATTGTAATCATCAATTAAATTCGAACTTTTAGTTTTAATTGATAATTATGCACATGATAATTACAATCTATATGCATATAAATAAATATTTAAAGTGTCTGTTTGTAACACCTAAATAGCTGACTTCTATTCAGCTCAATGGGTTATTTGCATGCTTTTAAGAGATAAATAACCTTTTTTAAATTGAAGTTTCAGTCTATAATATCAAAATACCTTAAATTAAGCTGGAGCTTATTTGCATGTCCATTTAAAAATGTTGTCTGTCTGTCTGTATGTCCGTGCGTCCGTCTGTGTGTATTTTTCGGAATGACTGAACTGTCAGAAAATAAACTTTACGAACGAATAGAGAGCAATACCAGGAGTGATCTCTTGGAGTTTTTTAAAGTAACAACGAAGAATTGATAAAATAAATAGTCTCCGACCATCTTAAATCTAAATAACGCCACACTAAGATTCTCTGCAGGTGAAGCCGGGAAAAAAAATTAAGAGTACAAAGTATAATATATAATGTATTATTGCGTACATACATAAACGCAATGTCAGGAATTTACATTTAGAAAAAGCCAAAATTAGGGGCTTTTTAAGTACTAATTAGGTTAAAAATTTAGTGCCCAAAATTCACCGCAACGAATTGTTGAAATTTACGTTGCTGGCACAGAATATTGACACAGTTACTTCTGCAATGATTTCGGCGCTGCGGGAAGTGCAGCCCCTTCGCCCTAGCGTAGCAAATCATAGATACTCATGCTTAACCCCCGTAGCTTCGGCTCATTGATTGCCTTCGGTGATCAGACTCATGCCTATGGCTCGCGCAGATGCCTGCGATTTGCTATAGCGGGCGGGAGCTGCCTACCACTTTACAAAAACACTCTAGGGGTAGGGCAGCAAGAGTACGTGGAGTCGGGACGCTCTGATTTCGTTTTAGTATAGACGTATTATTTATTATGTGGTACAGATTCGACCTATCTTATCTATAATATATAACTGATAAAGAACAAAAAATCACGTTCATACCTTATACTAAGGTAAAGTCCTGGACTCAATAATTTCCAGAATATTACCGTTATCTACATCCAACCTCAACATTTTGTGAAGAGTTGTAATGATGACATGCAGGTTTTCACACGATCTTTTCATCTTCGCTACCGAGCAATGGGTAAATTAGCATTTAAATTGCAATTAAAGATTTAATTAATGTCGGACTACTGTGAAATTTAAGGCGAGTGCTTAGCCCCTGAGCAACTATGGTTTATATATTTTAAATAATAATCCGATTACATTACATGAGTCTTAATGCAAAAATTGATGGTTTATCACATTGCGGAGCATACCTGTTTTTGAAAAAACACATAATATATAATAATGCAGAAATCGACTGTTACCTTACTAGCTTTTACCCGCGGTTCCGCTCGCGTTTAATTAAATATCGAACATACAATAATTAATACAAAAAATATAGCCTATGTCCTATTTCGTTTTTTTATAGGATAGGATGACAAACGAGCACACAGTGCACCTGATGGTAAGTGGATGCTTACTATTAACTGACGACGAAGATGGGATGCCTACATTTCCAGTAAAAATAGTCTCTGGTTCTGTATACGAACCACACGAAACACAGTAGCATTAAGCTGCTATTTTACGGTTTGATATCTATAATATTTCCAAGTATTATCAAAATCCGTTTTTTAGTAGTGATTGAGCCACAAACCTATAAACGTCCAAACAAAGTACAATTTATAATATTAGTAGGACTATCTAAGCAGAAGCTTTTTTTTAATATAAAATATAATACCTGGATGACCGAGCTTTTCTCGGTATTTTTTTTTTTGGAAATAATGTGTTTTGGAAATTATATTTAGATACAAATTACATAATGATGAAATATAAATAATATTTTTTGATCTTACCGACATAATAGAAAAAGCTGAACTGGTTATTTATATAAAAATCATGAGTGCAATTAGTTTAAATTAAATTTTCGTGTTTTTAAAAAATACTAAAAAAGTTTTATCACAAAAGAAGAGAACTTAAAAAAAAGGAAAAAGTCGGATCAAAGACAGAACTCGAACCAGGGTACTACGATTTCGTGACCGCCCGATATTCCATTTGAGCTATTATAATCATTAACTCATTGCCAAAATTTACCTTATTATTCTAATGATATTGTAGCAGTCAGTTTTCATTGCTTGAAAACACGGATAAAACGACATTTTCTAAAAATGAATCGTAGGTAGATCGATTTATTGCCCCCGAAACCCAGTGTATATACAATATATACAATAATTGCCCGTTTAAAAGTGTTAGATATTTAGTAAAGCTTTTACTAAGAATAACTTAATAAAATATTATTCTTGTCTTCATTTTAAATTTTCATGATATCATGGAATAGTTTAATTTTAATATTTTTATTTATAGTAAAATTCTTAAACATACTGCATAGGATAATATTTATATTTCATAATTACAAAAAAAAATTGTGTTACGTCGCATAATTACTACTTAAATATTCAACATCGTAGTTGGAGCTTTATTGATTCAACGAAAGTGTTTGTTTGTACCCGTCTCACTCACAGCTCGCCTTCGTGGTACAATGCCTCCCCAATGCGTCGTTTGTAAACCAGGGTGGGCACTCAGTCATTAAATAGTTTTATAACTACATACTGGACGTTCTAGAAACACATTGTGTTTGACGCTTGCCACTGTGCGCGGTTTTATATTCATAGATCCTTTCTTATTTGCTATATTCGTAGTTTATTTTGTGTTTGAGAATAACTAAAATGAAAAAGATTCTCTTTGTTACGTTATTGTTGCTTTTTGCAATAATAAATACTGAAAGCAGAAGAATGTCTTCAAGAGGCCGCGGTTCGGGATCCAGCCGCAGTTCTAGTAGAAGGGGTTACTCAAAACCAGCACCGACTTCATTCAGCAATCCTCAACCTTCAGCAGCTAAACCTTCTCTATTTGGATGGCAAGAAAAACCAGCCCAATCGGCACATATTCCATCTCATAAACAAAGTCACTCGTATCCGTCAAGCAACACAGGACTTTCTGGCAGCAATCCACCCAAAACGCAGACAATACACCAAGAAAGTATTCAAAGGAGTAACGTACCAGTACCAGCCCAACAAACTCCAATAAGGACAGCACCTCAATCACAGGCAACTAACCAAATGACTCATTCATATCCTGCGTCAAATGGTTTATCGGGAAATTCTAAACCCGGTGGATTGTCCGGTTCAGCGCCCGGATATCCATCCAATGCAGCACCACCTCCATATAGTCCAGTGGATACCCATCGATCCTACGGTAGTAATCAAGCAACTAATAATTTCGGGAATAGTTATCAGCATCCTCAGGGACCACCACCACCGTATACTAACAACGCACATAACTATGGCGGCTATGGAGGGCATGGATACAACCCGGGGTATAATCCACAAGCACCGGGATACTTTGGAAACTATGTAAGTAAAGGCCAAAATTTCGGAGGTATGAGTCGGACGGGCTCTGCTCTTACAGGTGTTGGAATTGCTGGAGCAGGTGTTGGTACGATATTAACTGGTTTAGCGCTGTGGAATTTAGCTCGATCTACTGGTCATCATCATCATACCGTTATTTACGATAACAGAGGTCAACCAGTTGCTGTGGCCCCAAGTAATAATACACAGCCTATAGCTGATCCCATATTAGGTGATTTGATAAATTGTACACTCACAATAAGCAACGATAATGCCACTGAAATCCTCGCTATCCCTTGCGCCATCGCCACTTCCTTCACACCAGATGCTAATGTAAAAGATTCAAATATAAATGTCAATAATCCGAATGATACGACAAAATGTATTATAACCGTAGTTACAAAAAATTATAAAGAGTTTATGACCACTATACCTTGTTCAATACTCTTAAGTACTGCTGCAAGTAATAATGTGACTGAACCACCTATTTTTAGCAACGATACAGACAATAATTATAGTACCTTGATACCTTTAAATGTAACAGCTGTAGGAAATAAAACCTTGACATCTCAAGAAAGTGCAGTTGTTGTCAATGGAACATTTGTACCTTTGCAAATTGCGCCCATTAATCAGCCTGCAGCCCTTAAATTAACGAGTGACAGCATTACTGAATACAATGAAAAACTGAATTGCACGTTCGAAGTCGGTGAAATAAGAGATCCTATTAACCCGTGTTTTAGTATAACGAATGATTTAACTGTTATTCCTCTAACAGTAACTAACAAACCATAAAATGTTTAAGTGTAATTATTGGATTTTGAAAAAGGAATTTGATTAATTTTTACACTAATTTCAAATATATCGATAAGCATTGAATCCGGTTCTATTTATATAGTTTTATAAAACTGAGACTTTGATTAACAATTCACAACAACAATTGCAAAATCAATTTTACTGTGGTTCAAATAAAAAAGGACATAAAATAAATGTTAGCTTTAAAATTTACCATAGGAAATTTAGTGTAAAACGAATATTGATTTATTATATTTATATTATAATCACACAGTGTTTTAATGAATTGTTAAATAGTAATAATATTAATATACATTTGACATGCACGTTTGTATTGCATTGTGGTAGTATTTAATAAAGCATTATGTTGCTTGTCGATTAGCTTAAATTTGTGTATTAACTAAGTGTATTCGTTGTATTAAGATAAATTAAAAAAATATAGCCTTAAAATAGTTCTGTATTTGAGTTTACTGTCAAAGTAACCATATGGTACACATACCAAATGAAAATAGTATCACGTATTAAATGAAAATAGTTCAGATTAAAGCTTTTCCGATATTCATTCGTTCCTTCATTTAGATCACTGTTGAACAAGGGCTCTACCATAGATTGCCCTAAAAGAGAATTGTCAAATTTGCCACGAATAGAATAGTATATAATGTAATAGAATTACTTGTTAATGATCACCTCACCTTTGAAATACCCAGGAGTTATCAACATCCATAGAATAGAACTATTTTTATTCAATATAGATTAATAAAATTATTAATGAAAGTAATTTTTTACTTTTATTACCTGTTCGGAAGAATCCTCTCAATAAAACCTCAAATAATCCTCTGTGCTGGGCAAGCAGCAAGAAATCTAGTGGGCCTATATTTAAATAAAACCTATTTACAATGTATTATTTTATACAATTAGCATAAAACATTAAGAAACAATATGGCAGCGATCACCTCATTCCCAGGAGGTTCATTCCCAGGGGTTGTACTCTTTAGTAGTATAATAATGCTTATTAAAAAATTTGTGCTTAATAAAAATTTTAAACTTTTTGATAGATAAGGCCTGCATATTTTCTGGGACTTTGTTGTAAAAGCTTATATATCGCCCATAGAATACTATAATACTTACACAATCTATATTTTGCCCCTTGAAGAAATTACTGACTCTTTGGAGTCGAGTGACTAGTATAACTTGTTTTTGGCAGGGGGTGACACTCGCGTCGGTTTATTTACTCATGTGCCCGCGTTTTATTACTGTTTTATGTTATTATCACTTATCTTTTTACGGATACACCGGTAAGTTAGTAGTTATTTTCCGATGTTACGGTTATGTACTGTGCTAAAAATATAATATTATGAAAATAAATCATACCATCCATCGATATCTTTAAGCCTTATATAAACTTAAGAATGGGTATAGGTGTAGGTGTAAAGTGTAGCTGCAAGTAGGTAATAACGGTAAGTTTAAGTTTTTCAAGTGAGTATATGTAAAACATGCTTAACGCGATATAAAGTTTCCGAGAAAATAAGATCTAACTATATTATACTAGTGTTAATATAATGTACTTCATCCTCATCATCATCATCATCTTTACAGCCCTTCACAATTCCACAGCTGAACAAAGGCCTCCCCCAAGGAACGCCACAAATCACGGTCCTGAGCCACCCGTATCTATCGACTTCCTGCATATCTTACCAGGTCGTCACTACACTTTGCTTACTGGCTGCCACTTGAGAACCCTTTACCCTATTGGTTGTCAGTTTTTCGAGCTATATGGCTGGCCTAGGATCCCAACGGAAAGGTCTTAAGATGATCATGGACAAAACAAAGATCATGTGTAACGCCCATGTCACTCACACCTATGACGGTAGTTGCTGGGAGCACTAAGCTCAAAGTTGTTGACAAGTATGTTTACCTGGGACAAATAGTTCAACTAGGTAAGTCCAACTTCGACCGAGAGATCAATCGACATCGTCAGGTATACCTCAAAACTTGAAAACGAGATTTTACGAGCAGTGCGTGTTGCCAGTGATGACTTATGGATCTGAGACGTGGTCCTACACTGTTGACAGTATGAACAAGCTTAAGGTCCCACAGCGAGCTATGAAGAGGACTATTCTCGAAGTTTCTCTGCGTGATAAGCGTAGAAATGAGGCCAATAGTTACGACATTTTTGACTTTTTGCACATTATCTTCAGTGAGGAATGTGGATAGGCGTCATTTGCGATGTTCATCTTCCGTAGATGTTCTTTCCAACTTAAACTCCTTGGACCATCGTGCAGCTTCGGAATATAGAGGAGAAGAGTCCTTTAATGTCCACCAAATCGCTGTGTATGTCTTTGGTAGACATTTTTTTAAAACACATGTACTTGAAGACGGCTCTATTTCTTTTCTTTCTTTTTGATGTTACCTCTTCGATGATCCGTATTGAAAAGAGTGTACCTCCCGGAAATAGTAGCCTGGGTATATAATTTTTTTATGCCGATATAGTGGGTACATAAGCAACAATTTTTATGTGCACAGGTGCTAAACGATTATAATTACTTTTGGGATTATTCCTCGCAAAAGTGGTTTATGGAATGGTAATTCTGATAATGATGATGGTATTGTATTGAGTATGCCGAATCAGTGGATTTGTTTAAAAAAGTTTTAGCGGAAGCGGTGATAGTTCTTGTTTATTTTAATTCAGTAAAGCTGATTTAAGTTTTATTTTAAAGAAAATTATTTTACTTTGGTAGGTCAGATTAACTAACAAAAATAATTAGTAGGTATTTTTTAAATACGCAAAAATAGCAAAAACTTTTGATAAGTAATTGTGGTAATTCGTAAGTTCTGCATAGTAAATTATTGAATACATTAGATAATCATAGCTGTTTTTGTCCCTTTTTGTTAACAATCCATTTCCAACGATCGCAGTAGCCTATATATTTTTCGTATTTTTTATTTACAATACATAAATAATGAGTATATATTGTATATTTTACCGTGTAGTGGCGATGTAAGAATATCCACTACCGCATATCATCCCGTTAGTGTTATAAGAGGCGACAGAGGGAAACGAATAACGAGATGGGAGGCAGCTTCATCCTAATAACGACTTAAAATTAAAAAAAAACTTTGGTTGCCAACTCGCCTGCCAAGCGTGGCAACTATGGCAAATATTCCTTCTATGAAGCAGTCTGTATGGGGGGCATATTATGTTCAGCAGAGGAATTATGATCCGCTTATTTAGAGAGCTATCAATACTTTGCCAATGGATAATTTCGGAGCAATCGATACTAAAATTTATTTACATAACATTGGAATAAATGCAATATTAAAAACTATATATAAGTAGTAAAAAAACTAAAACTAAAACCTAAAATACTAAATACTAAAATAGTATTTTAAATATCTTTTGAGTAAGCAGGGTAGACAGACGCTATTAAAATTAGTAAGTACCCGTTTTATACGTTTATTTTTGGCTATGAAAGTTGACGCAACTTGGTCCGAACCGGTCCGAATTTGACTAACACGTTTCCGTGTTAAATAAAACACGCGCCATTTTTTTGGAGCTACTAAGTATTTTATCTACGATTTGATCGGTGTAGGCTACGTAAAATACAAAAGCTTGTAGTAACCCACCTTTCCAAGAAATTTATTGGAATTTATCCAACCATTTTGCGGTTTCAGTCCAGCTGTCAAATCTAAGTCTATTCATACCATCCAAACCACCTCCATCCATTGTGCACTGCATCAGAACTACGGAGGGAAGAGGTATGAAGGACTATCTCATATGGGAGACAAGATGAAAAAGTGTCCAGCTGTAAGTTGTAAATAACAGTTCAAAAACCTTTCACAATGGCGCTAGCGTAGATACAGGGGTATAGTATGAATGATTGGAAGTCCGCTACTGTGTGTTTTACTCTATGAATTTGAAGAAAAAAGCCTACTTCTTTCTAAAAGACCGGTGTTGCTTATGCTCATGATGTTTGTTGGGTTATCGAGTATACTTTCATTAGAATATTGATAGCGTAGGCCTTGGGCGGCATTATAGATATCTTAGATTTAGGCTTAATTACATTCATATGTGTAATCTACAATTCTACATAAATTGAGTCAATATACTTGTCAATCTTTTTCGAACATAATTTTCAAATGAGGCAAAAAAGAGAAACATATTGAACTTTGAATATTATATACGTAGACGACACTTTCACAATTCTACCTTTAGATAAAGTAACTGCATTTTTAGACCATCTTAACTCTATAAATTCTAAAATTCAGTTCACAATGGAGTTAGAGGCAAACAATTCCTTAAGTTTTCTAGATGTGTTAGTAATTCGGAATTAGACCATCTTAACTCTATAAATTCTAAAATTCAGTTCACAATGGAGTTAGAGGCAAACAATTCCTTAAGTTTTCTAGATGTGTTAGTAATTCGGAATCCTGATAACACCTTGAGCCATACTGTGTATAGAAAAAAGACCCATACAGATAGATATTTAAACGGTGATTCTCACCATCATCCTTCACAGTTAGCTACCGTGGGTAAATCTTTGTTTCAGAGAGCACGAGGGATCTGTGACAGTAAACACCTGGCTGCAGAGCTCCACCATGTCAAGCAAGTTTTGCGTGACAACAAGCTTCGAGTCCCGCGCCTACGTCACAGTGAACGAGTGAAGCCGGCCACAGTCGAGCGTGTACCTGCTGTACTGCCATATGTTAGAGGAGTCACTGACAAGATTGGCTACATCTTGAAGCGCGCTTCCATCAAAACATACTTTAAGCCGCTGAAGATTGGTCAGTTTTTACCATCGGTCAAGTATAATGTCCCTCTGCAAGATGCAGGAGTGTACAAGCTTGATTGTGAATGTGGTCTCTCCTACATAGGACAAACTAAAAGATCAATAAAAACCCGCGTTAAAGAACATATAGCTGATGTGAAGAATCGACGCTCCGGGAAGTCTGCAGTCTGTGAACACGTACAGGATCGCCCCCGTCACTACATCAGATTTGAT